GTGCTGGTGCTGGCCATTGTGACGATAGGGGGATAGTCGTGCAGTCTCGTGTTCATGGTCGTCCGTATACAAATTGTGATGGCTACGGTGAGATGACGATGTGGCATAGGTTTCTGAGGAACTGAGGAAATTCGGATTCAGGAACGAAAGAGGGGAGAAAAAGGGAAGCTCAAGACGTGGTGAAGGATACGATTCAGCGAGACCTGGCGTGTTATTGATGAAGACAGCGGGACTCAGACCCTGATAACCAGGCCCCCCCGTACATCCTTAGTACAATGGAGCCGTCGAGTGTTATATCCTTTTTCCTGGGGGTGGAGAGAGTTGCCGGGCCCGAGCTTTTAGGGTCTGAGATGTGTCGAGACAAGAGACAGCCAGGAACCGCAAGAGTATCTTGCTTGAATGGCAAGAGACTAGGATCAGGCACGATAGATTGGGTAGATCGACTCCACTTGGAGATTCCACTTGGAGGGTCCTGATCGAGGAGCGGACAGTTTCTTATTCTCTTTTAGACGGCCTCCCTGGTATAGACGCCAGTGTTCGATCGCCCACACCCCCCCCTCTGCCCCCCTCGTCACATCACCCAGGCGTCAAATATGATAGGAAGAAGGGGTGGGGAAGGAGGAGGGGGGGGGGGGGACGGTCCCGAGCAGCCTCAAAAGAACTGTAGTTGGGTTTGTTCCTTGCCTTTCGCTGTTAGGAATCGTTCGATACCGGGGACCCTGGCACTAGGAAAGAAGAGTCCCAACCTTCGTGATGTCCCAACCCGGTCGGCGGCTGAGCAGGGTCAGAGAGGCAGAGGCACATTGAGAGGGGGGAGAGGGGTGGGAGCGTGATGGAGTGTCGAACAAAGAAGACCATGGCAATAGGGCCCATGGTGTTGGGACAGGAGGACCAGGCAGAAGGAGCATAATTGCAGACTGCTGCGCCCGCAAGTTCACCTCACATCTCGCAAGGGAGAACCGCAGAGAACGCCTGACGACTACCAAACCAGGGCAATCACTGGGCTTGATGGGGTCAGCTGGCGCAGTACAGTAGTCAAGACATCGACCTACAGTCAAGATTTCTTCTCGGATGGGCACTAGTGCTGGAGGGGCTGGGGGGGGGGGGGGGCGGTTAAGCGGGTATGCAAAGGCAACAGGCCGCGATGCCCACTGAGACTGGAAAGAAGACATGACCGAACGGGCGTTGAAGAATTTGGGCGGCACCGTGCGCATGTGGTGATGTGGGTTGGTCCAGCACTGAGTCCGCCGTCGAGTCTGCGCCGCGCGCGTGCGTGCAAAGGTGTGTGTGTGGCATCCTGTCTGACAGGTCCGGTCTGTGAACAATGAGTGTTGGCTCTGAGGGTCACGCCTTGTGTGACTCGAGCAGGATTTATTAGAGGAGGGGCCACCAACCAACAGTCCAAGTCGATTGGCCGCAGTATCGACCTCGGAAATGGCAATGAGCTTGAGATGTCGATTCTAACCCTGTTCGATCGAGTGTGACCCGAGGGTTTGGGACCGATGGACCAGATCCTCCAGCCCCCGGCCCCCTTTGCATAGCAGTTGGTCTGGGCCTGCGTGAGTGTGTGTGTGTGTTGTGTGTGTTTGCTCACCGCGACTGGCGGCTGGCGGTATGGGTAGTAGGTGAGGAGGAGGGGGTGATCACTTCTTCCGTCCCCGAGCGTCCTTTGACCATTCTCGTCCTCGCCTCGAGCAAGTCGTTCTCTCCCCAAGGGAAGAAGGGGGTCCTATTGTTGCTAGGTAAGGTAGTTCAGTCTGTCAGCCCTGCCGCTGCCGCTGCCGCTACCCAGCCTTCTGCCAATCTCACAGCTAACGACGGTGGCTACAACAGCCCGGCCGTCAAGTGGTGTAACGGTGCTCATAATGGCGCGGGAGAAGGAGCCGTTGTGCCGCGGCTTCATCCCTGGTGGACGGCCGGGCCCAACTTGGATCAGATCCAAACAGTGGAAACACTTGTCAAGTCGATTCGCGTAGGCACAGCAGCAACCTATGGACGGTCGCAAGCTAATGGGGAAGAGCTGATGTGGAGGTCGCCTGGGAAGATCAGCGAAATGCGGGGCATTCCGTGTGGTCTACTGGCCGTAAGCCGCGGGAAGTCCACGAGCCGTCATGTTCCGTCGTCAATGGGAGTCGTCATGCGCAGAAGCAACGAAGGCTTGAATCATGCCCGACACCCCTCTCTGCCACTCGGCCTTCCCTACAGCGCCAGGCGTCAGCGTCAGCGCTGGTGTCAAGTGTCGGCGTCAGACGACAGGGATGTGAGGAGCAACATGGGGCCATACTATACTTCCCTTACCTTACCGTAAGCTCTCGCCCTTGACCCCTGTTTTGCCCAGCAAGCCCAGACACTGCATTCTTCTCCACAACGGCTGGGTGAAGCGACTGCAAAAGGGCGATCGAGGAGGAGGATGACAGGGTTCGCCCAAGACCTCCAAGACGCCTGATCGCTTCGTTAGCGTTCGCACATCGTCACAGCTCCCGTTGCTTTTGCCTTTGCTTTCGCTTTCGCCGTCGCCTGGTCCTACTCCAGATGCCTCTTGCTCTCCTTCGTACCATCCTTGCTCAAAACACACATGTACATATCGGCCCATGTAGAGCAGCTCTGTTCCAAAAGCGCCACTGACCTGGCAGCAAGCGTCATGGCCCAACCCTTCGTCAAAAGCATGCCACATGTGCGGACAGACATTGGTTCGGGGCGATTGGGTCCAACGGGAGAGGGGCGGAAACCAGGATCCGCACAATCCTCTCAACGCGTCCCCTCATCCTCTCCTCGTACCTTCTGCATCTCGCACAGGATGCCTCGGCGATGGGATCGACTTTTTTGGTCCTGTTTTAGCATCCTTCTGATAGACTTGTGGCTGATGTGACAATACCACGCTAAAGCAGTCAACAACGAAGCCAGTGAATCCCAAGACCCTACACGCCTTGGCGACGTGCCCAGAAATCAACCAGTCGCGTCTTTCAACATACTCGCACTCGATCGTGTTACCCTGTGACCGGGGCCTGACCCATCTGTGTGACTACCTAGACTGTGTCACACTGCAGAGCGCGCTGTAGAATCCGCGTACGCGATCGCTCCACAAACACACACGCCCGACCACCTCTAAGGAACAAGGGAAATAAACACAGTGCCATGCACTGGTCAACCTCGTCCGGCCTCGCCGTGCCGCATGAGCCTGGCCTGATCTGGCCCAATCGGGGCAGGTGCCTGAGCAACTGGCATGGGCTCATTGTTCTCATGAATTGCTTCTGCGCCTCTTAAGACGTGGTCGTTGCCAAGCATCACGCCGCCTACTACTGTAGCTCACAAAAGTCCGAAACCTAGAGCACAGGAGGTAAGCCTGGTCGGACTCCCATGCAGGGTAGGGCGGGCTACCGCGGTCAAGGGTGCCTCGATAAGCCCGCTGCGCTGTACTCATGTACTCCCGTCGAAGGGCTCTTTATCGACGATGCGTCGAGGGACGTCAAAACAGGCGACATCCTGAGGCCACTGATCATCTTGCAGTGGTTGCTCAGCCCGTCAGCGTCATCCCGTCTTCGACTACGCCCATGCGGCTCAGAGATTCGTAGATCTTGTGATAGTCGGGGTGTGATATTTTACCTTCCTTGTGCCGTGAGGTGCAGTCTCGAAAACAAGAGTCTGAGTTCATTATTATGCAGCTGGCTCCGAGTCACTCCAAATATGTGGAGGCACAGGGCGCCACGAGAAAGCAGCCGTCTTGTGCACTCGTTCCCGGATAGAGGTGCTAAAGCCGGCGGATGATGCATTGACGTAGTTGCGGCGGTTCATGCTCACGCTTCATGGCGTAATGAAACCGATGCAGGGCATGGCGGGTGCTGGGGTTATGTCGCAAGTGCAGGACGCCATGTCTCGGAGATCTCAGTATGCCTAGATGGTGCTATTCCTACTGTGCTCATGGAAGCTGAAATTCTGCAATCTCTCATCTGTATGTGTTAGACATGTCACGGTATTCAGGGACCAAGTTCAAGCGAGCGGAGCACCCGCAGCGACTACAGGACTGGCAGACCCAGCATGTATCATTCGGCCGAACCAGTTTTTGTTTTCTTCAGCGCGCTTTCATGAGTCTGGATCATCATCGCGAGTGGTTGCATGCCTCATATGGCTTTCGAATCTTCAACCTTGACATGACTCATTTACTGCTTCGAAAGGCAGCAGTAGCCTATGGGACCTGTTCGTCGGAGTCGGTGAGAGTGAAATGGACCATGTTCAGCTAGACGAGGGAGGGCGCATGCCATGCCATGCAGAGCCATGCAGAGCCATGCGCTTCCGAGACCATGCCGGGGTGCATAGGATTCCTTCCAGATGGGCAAAAAGGACGACGGTGATGCTCGACATCTACCACAACCTTTTGTCGTCGTGAATGACAGTTGAAGTCAGGAGGAGCCAATGCAATGGCCGCCCGGAGCATGCGCTAAACATACAGGGCACCTTTCTCGGTCCCCACTCCAAGACGCGATCGATGTCTTGTCCGTCTCCGAGAAGCAAGCTTTTCCGGCGCTGGTAGACGGTCTCGTGTGTCGTCAGCATGCTAGATGAGAAAAGCAAAATGAGAATAAAAAGAAAGGATTACAAGAGCCCAGGTCCAGGAGGCAGAAGAAGAGACAGGGTCAAAATAGCTGGGGCAGCGCACTAGTGGGGTAGCGAAACGTCACCTCTGGTTCCCGTAACGTCGAAGGTAAGCGGAGCCAGTGGTGTGTCCAGCTGAGTGTGCGGAGCAACAAGGATTGATTGTTTAACAAGGGAGGCCATCGAACAAACCGATTGGCTGTGGATTCTATTATCCAAGTTTTGGCGAGAGACAAGGTGCAGGCAAATCTGGGCTGGGCTGGCCGGTAGGCAATACCCTTCCTTGCCTGAGGAATACGTTTGTCTTTCTTCACGCATTAGCTGCCATGGCGTGCATGTGCCGTCCCGTCCATCATCTTTCGAGCCGGTACGCCAGTGAGCTTGGCATTTTCGTATTGCCAGGCATGCTTTCACAGATGATGCTCGCCGACGGAGCTGCGGGGAGTCGCCGGTTGTTGCCGGTGCCGTTCCCCTGCCGGCTTGCCTTCGACAACGACGCCGAGGGCGATGCCCGCATCAGCCTGCGAACCGGAGTCCACCACGTCGAAAGATTCGTCTCCAGAGAAGCGCCTGCAACGTCGTCAGCATTAGCGGCTGCACGAGAGCGAATGTGTCGAAGAAACACTGGTTCGCCTCAACACGACTACAGGGACGGGAAAAGAAAGTATGGCCGAGTCATGCTCGAGATCGAATGCCACCAGCCAGGGAGGGGTCCCTACCATCCTCTTTCTTCGCCGCTGCTGAGAAAGCTGCAATCGCTGTTCTGCGTGCAGATCCAGCCTCCACGCACACCTTTGCCATCCTTCCATGATGGATAAGTGGAATTCTCTGGGGTCTCGTCAACAAGGTTGCTTATGCCTTCTGCCGGGAATGATGCAGGCGAGTCATGTTTTATATGAGGAACCATACCCTGAGCGAGAACGTCTGACGTCGTTTGCGGGGGGTTCTTCCGTCGTCGGAAAATGCTGAGCCCGCACGTGAAGGCGCGAAAATCCTCAACATCGACAGTAGTGGGAATTTCCCCCGTCAGCACACGACCCAGGGCGATGATGGTTGCAGCATGCGAGCATAGGACAACGGCGCGTATGCCTTCGGCATCGCACTGGTCAATGATGGCGCCAACGCCAGCCGCGACGCGTTCGTAAAGCCCTTCAATGGTTTCGCCCTTGACAGCCGGAACCACAGCGGCCCGGTACGTCTCATCATACCGGGGAAACATTGGCTTCAAGACCTCCGCGGTAGCTGGAGTCGGGTGTTCAAAAGGTGCGGCGCCATACCATTCAGCAATTCCAGACTCAGGACGGATGCTTGTTGCGGCAGACTGAGTCGAAACAGTCTCGCCGGCAACATTGGTAGCGCCCGCCGTAGTGACCGATGACGCTGAGGTTTGGCGTTGCACCTCTTCAGCCTTGAGCTCCACGAAGGGCGTAATAGTCTGGAGGCAGCGATAGTACGGACTCGAGTAAACGGCTTCAATCGGAGGGCTGACAGTCAAAAGATGGACTCCGAGCTCCTTTGCTTGGTCAACACCGTGTGCTGTCAGGGCTGGATCCGAAGCGATGCCTGTGGGCGACCTGATGGAGGAGCTATAATCACCCGTCGCGGGGTCGACAAGCCAATTGGAACGAAACTATGAACGGCCGTGGCTGGAGTTAGAATGTTGCCTTAGATGCCTAGGATACACGGGCAAGTCGGGCTCGACGTACCCCGTGGCGGGCCACGTAGATGACCTCCAGCGACATAGCCGTGCTTCAATGGAAGCAGCTGCCTGATGGCTCGAGGTAAGCCAAGGGGTAGCCGAGAAAGGGCGGGCGTGGCTTCACTAGGGGAGGAAACTCTAAAACAAGAATAAGAAAACCTCAGTAGCAAACGAGAAGATGATGGGCCACTGTTGAGTTGAAGTGGTGTGTAGACAGACAACCGAGAAGCGAGGCGAGGCAATGCAAGGCGATGTCGTTACGAGGTCCAAGTGGGCAACAAACACCGAGTGCGAGGCATGGGTTGAGGTGGGTGGGCCGCCTCGGCTCAGACCCCTCTTGACCCTGACCCTACCCAGACTGTACCTGACCCCTCCACTCCAAGACCTTCCAGATCTTCTCCACATTGCCTGGCTGGCTTCGAGGCGGGACTGGTGGGTCCTTCCTGGTCGCCGAGTCTCCCCCATGAATAACATTCAGCACCCAAACAATAGCTTTGACGAAAGGTGCTACTGTACCTACCTGCCAGGTAGGTCGGTACACACAGACAGCTCCTGGAAAAAAAGCACCCCCTGACTCAGCTTGCAGACTGCCTGCCCCGGACACTCCAGCGGCAGCCCCTCACGTCGACATGGGCGTTGCACTGTGGTGATCATATCTGCTGATCTTAATGTCCTAAGGGCGGATGGATGGATGACATGTTGTGTAACACGTCTCTCGTCCTGATGCAACTGGTAAAGCCGTCTCCTATTACTCCGGGACCATGAATGCCGCCCACCTGAATGAAGACACGCAACGGCTCATTGAACCCGTTACTGTTCCTCCGACCGCCTTCTCGACATCAATCATTACCCAGTCGTCGCGGATACCATGGGCCGTGTGCTGACCACTCTCGTGCACCCAGAGCGATCGTGATCCACGTTCCCGGCTCGAGCCGCCTCGGGTCCCTTGTCTTCTACCCCTTCCCCATGCCGCTCATTCAACGCTTCTAGGGTATCGTAACATGTATTCTCGTCTGCCGCCACACTAGCACCCATCACACTGCTTCCGGGACCATACCAACAAAGACTCCAACCTGGTTACTCCACATCGAGGGCCTGGCACCATGGATGTTCAACTACCCGTGTAATGTCGTAGCGCTCAGACACGTTGCGGTTCAGCATGCAACGGATCAGATCGATGCTTTCGTCACTGATGGTGAACGGTACTCTGAGGTCCCGGTCCATGATCTCGTCGATGCTGTAGAATGGATTCTCTTTGTAGACGATGGTGTAGAGCAAGATGCCCAAGGCCCACACGTCCTGCTCCTTGCCACCATAAGACTTGCCAGCGAGGACTTCGGGCGCCGCATAATCTGCCATGTCATTAGCACACAAACAAGACTGACTGGCTTACGAAAGCTTACCAATTGTGCCCACGAACACATCGAACGGGCCGTTCTTGATGTATGCCGCACTGCCGAAATCGATCAACTTGATGCGGCCCTCGCCATCCAAAATCACATTCTCGTCTTTAATGTCCCTGTGAACGACGAGCGCCTTCGTGTGCAGATGGTGGATGGCCTGAGCAACCTGCACGAAAATGCTCCTGCACTCGGCCTCATCCATGTTGCTGCGTAATTCAATGTAGTCGAAGAGATCCATTCCGGGTAGACCGTGAGGCGTCATCTCGATGTAGTAGTTGATGTCGTCTTCGAAGAATGACTCCATGTCTACAATGTTGGGGTGCCTCAGTTCCGGCCGTCGGAGATAGTCCAGGACGTGAATCTCGAGGGGCACCGTGCCAAGTTTGCGGTCTCGAGTCCATGTGTCGACTAGGATTCGCCGCTTGGTCACGTACTTGAGAACGACCTTTTTCTGTGTCGTTTTGTATTTCGCAAGCTTGACCTGCCCGTAGGCTCCTTGACCCATGTCTTCGAGGATTTGGAAGTCCTCGATAGTTTTCTTATGCACAGGTGTCACAGCGCGCACGGCAGGCGGCCTCTCCTCCTTGGGGCTTGATTTGGCCACTCCTGTGACCTTGGCGGCCGCATGCATGACGTGCTTGATCTGGCGTGTCAAAGCTGATGCGGCTCCAGATCCTGACTTCTCCTTTTTGGTGTCGTCCGAGTCGGAGCTCATCTCCATGGGCGTATGTACCGCCGTCTGTCCTGGCGAGGGCTGGTGAAGAGGTGTTGTCGTACCTGAACGGGTGGGCGTTTTGACGTCGAGCTGAGACCTCGTTGCATGGAGATGGCGGGAGTAAGTAATCCAGAGAGCATACACCATCTCGCTGTGCGGAACCGCAAAGGTGTTTTCCCTCTCACCATGGCTGTCGTCATCCTCGTCTTCGCTCGCCTCCACGACAGTCTCGGTGATAACAGCCGGCTGTCGCTCGCTCTGGACAACCCGCATCTGGACATCAATCTTGAGTTCGGAACCGTCACGGTGCCTGGCAGGCAGACCCTCGGTCCGCAAGAAAGATGTCGCTGCATCAGGCCTTCCTTCTCGAACTGCGAGGAACGCTGAGGCCTTCCGAAAACTGTGCTCCGGGACAACGATACCGTCCATCAACATGACGCCATCTTCCTCCGTCAGAAGTTGTAGAATCTTCTCGAACCCGGGCAGGAGCGTGTTGATGGACAGCCCATCTGGCTTCTCATAACCGAACAGAGACCCTGAGAAGGCTGAGTTCGAGCTCTTGATCTCCAAGTTTTCGGGATTGACGACGATGATGCCTGCCATATGTGGGAGGCTGGAAACGCGGAGTTCTGTCCTGCCTCTTACTTGTTCGACTGTGCATGGAATGTTCACCTTATCTGCGTTTGGGCAGGTGAAAAACCGCCGCTTGGAGACTTGAGCAAAGTCAACCTCGCCCGTGCGAGGGTCAATACCTTGTCGTGGTATCCTCGGAATAAGCTGCCCGATGTCGCATCCTGGACGTAGCGTCTCGAACCCCCATATCGCATCTGTCTCCCCGGATACCTTTTCGACAACACCATCGTCGTCCATAGAAATCATGGCGACGTCTTCATGGATTTCCTCAAGAACCCAGATAAGGCCGATCCGCTTCTCCTTCACCCACAAGCTGGCCGAACCCGTGGACCCATTCCGCTTCTGGATGGGCACAACGTCGCCACATAGCAGCACGCCTCGAGAGCGGCTGCTTCGATGGCGCGACCCTCCTCTCATGGTTGGTGGATTCGGGTCACCGCTATGTACTGTCTGCGCCTTACGGGGGATTGGCGCTTTGGGCGGATTCGTTCTGGAGTTTGGCTTGCTGAGGAGTTTCGCCGTGATGCCACCGCCTCGGCCACCGAGAAGCGACGAAGATACGGAAGCTGGGGGTGCGGGGGGTGACAGGTCCTCAGTGCTTTGGGCTGCTCCTTCTGAATCATATTGAAGCAGCTTTCTCTCGAGCCACGCCCTTCTCTCTTCTTGCACAACCTCAAGAATGCCGATTTTACGTACCTCGGCCTTTGTGACACCGAAGACGAGACAGGCAAGATCGTTGGCCGCAATGATTGTCCAAGGGGGTTTCGCTTCGGTCGTGAAAATGGCCTGAGCCGCAGGTGTCCACCGCGTGGTGTGACCATGCACAGGGCCGAGAGCACTGGGCATTGTGCCGGCTGCGAAATTCGGCGGAACGGTTGGAGATAGCATCTGCTCCTCGAATCCTGGAGGGCCGGCAACGAAGGGCTGCGCCATGGTGTCGATGAGCTTTTGATGCACCGATACGGACAGCGTGTCTGTCAGTGTTCGTTTCAGACTTGGTCGACGGGACGGCGGCGGCGAAGTCTTATTGGTGGTACCACTTTCGTTGGTCGGGCTGCGGCTCGAATATTCGGATTCCTGGCCTTCGATGATCGTCTTGGAAACGGAAGCCTTTGTTTTCGAAGGCTCGTCATGTTCTTGAAGAGGCAACGGGCGCCGAGAGGTCGATGGTGACAGATTGGGTGAGGAGATGGGCTCAGGGCTCTCGCTGCGTGGATTGAACTGTTTGTCGAAGAAGTTTTCACCCGAGACAACAGCTGGTCCCGTGAGAGGACCAGTCAGGGAATGGTCATTGTTGGGCAGATTGCCAGCACCCACGAGCTGAGCCCGAGCCAGAAGATCCAGCATGTTCTGCGTCTCTACATCCCCATGCACGCGTGCCTCCGCGCTCGCAAGTGCTACAGACGTTGAGGAGACAGACCACCCCAGTCGATCTTTCATAAACTCTATGGAACGTTTGAGGACTGTCTGTCGGTTGTGGATGAGTTCTTCCGACTGATGCGCGAATGAGAACGAGTGCAATGATTCAGATGGGAACCGCGAAAGATCCTCAGCGAAACTGGGGGATCCAGGGCCCGCAGACAACGGCAGAGACGGTGTGTTGGATAGCAGCAAGGTCATGGAAGAAGATCTGGGCAGGCCGATGGAAGAACTTCGCGACGCCGGGGTTGAGGCAGAAGGCAGCCCCGGCCCCCTGACCGAGGGCTGTTGTCGGATACGGCGAAGACCAGAAAGTCCGAGGCCGTGGTCATGATCCGTGACGATGGGAGACCTGTAGCCGCATTCACGTCAGCGCTGCACTTGTCACAGACCTGCAATGCTACTGCGGTGGATTCGGGTGTTCTGATTCATCTCGCCGTCGTCGCATTCTCATTGCCCAAGGTCACAAAGCAATAATTCATGCGGCAAGGAGAGCGGCGAGTGTTTGTTGTGTCCCCCCAATGTTCAAGGCTGTCAACCGCGTCTACGAATGCGTAGCAAGGACTTGGTTGTGAGGGCCACCGTCGGCGGTTCGTAGGAGCGGGACATCATGGATTGGCACGAGATGGACACGAACCTACCTTGTGAGGGCTTCATATTCAGCTGTCGTGGCAGCGCCTGCGTCGAAGGACATTCGGACGCGGGATCGATCGGATTGTGCATTTGTGGCTAAGGCGAGATTTCCGGTGCTTCGGTTTTTCGGCAGTGTCGACTGGGGCACGAGTCTGCTGCGTCCTCTGCCCTCCTCGTTGTGAAGTTCGGCGCCTGCAATCCATCAATCAGCCGGTGCACATACGGGAAAGGTCAACGAGAAGGAGAGCGGGCGGTCGAAGAGCGGGCGGTCGAGGAGAGGAGAGTAGAAATGGCGGACACTGTTCCCAGACGCGAACGGTGTCATTCATGCATACCATTTTTGCTGGATCCCCCATGCGTCTGTATCATACTTGGAGGGGCGTCGACCGTCGTGTACAGTGTTCGAGGGGGGTGGTCTGGCGGCAGGGCAAAGCGTCCGTGTTGTCGATGCAAAGTCGAAAGGGCAACGGCGGGGTCGAGTCGTTGAGGGGGTGCAGGTTGGGTCGGCGATCCGATCTGGTGTAGTGCAGTTTGACGAAGTGGGCGTTCAATGGTGGAAGCTCTGTAGGCACCGGGTGCAACCTCAGATAAGGCAACGTATGGGGCAGGATTGTGTGCAGCTGATGTTGTGCCACGGGGCTGGAAGATGAACAGGAAAAGTAGTGCGGTCGTGAGACGCGCGAGCGGGTGGTGGATGAATCAAGCTCGGTGATGGTATTGACTGGCGTGCGGGCTTGTTGTTCGTCGTTCTGTCGACTGCCCAGGCAAGGCAGGGCAGGGCAGCAAGACGAAGGAGCGCCGATCGAGACAGGGTAGTCAACGGCTGGAGGAATGAGTCGCACAGTCTGCGGCAGACAGGCAGGCTTCCAAACCCCGTGCCGGAGGCCTTTGTTTGAGACGAGTCTCCCTCTGTCTGATCCTGGGAGCGTCGGGCAGCCAAGACTTGAGCGTTGAGGGAGGCGGCAGGCTTGATCCGGCGTCCGGGCGTTGCAAGCGACTGTCGCGAGATGCTGCTTGTTGCTGTATGTCTCACACTGCTGGCGGGCTGGGCAGGGCTGGGCTGAGCTGGGCGCGGGCGTGGGCGTAGATGACTGAGAAGAAAAAAAACTACAGTAAGGTAGGTAGGTAAGATAAGTAGTGCAGGCGGCGAGAGGAAGTCGAGGCTGTGGATCGATGATCAAGTATTTTGGTGGCTCACAGCATTTGCCAGTAGATTCGATGGGGTGAATTGAAATGAATGTTCAAATAAGCAATGCTCAGTCGGCAATTGTACTTTTTCTTCTGACAGAACTACAGACGGGGATGGCTCAGGTGCAACAGGACACACAGGTTGGAAGCGGGAAGTTGAGGAGCGAGAGTTTCTCCTAGGCCCCTCCGGTTTTCAGGTTCTGGGAACGTCTTCTGTCTTGTCTGTACCGCTTGTTACTACTTGGACCAAAATCACCTGCAGGTCAGGAAAGAAGTAGGTAGGGAGGTAGGCAGTCAGGCTCAGCTCTTCGGTGCACCATGACGGTACTTGCATGTTTCCGGGCCCGCTCCTCCTCAGGCATGTGCGTGCTGCCCGCATCAGCACCACGTCTTCTGTACCCAAGGTGCAAGCTCCAACACTTGTGGGCCGCTGAGGTTATTTCCAACGTAAGGTACCCTGTACCTCCTGGGTGGGGCAACATCAGAATTGAAATCCCTAGCATCATCCCCAACGCATGCTGCAGGTATCTATGTAGGTGCCGTAGGCATCTACCTATGGAGGGAAAGACTCTGGTGAAAGGTGCCCAGTAGCATGACCCGACGACGATACGGGCAGGCAAGTGTGGTGCTACATGATGAATGTTCGTAGATGGGGGCCGCAGGAACATTGGCACCAATCTTTGGTGGAGTTGTCCTGGACAGAAGCTCGTAAGTCTCTTGGATTGGACAGCAAGTCCACTATGGATGCTTTCGCGTGGAGACCACGGGACGAACTCAAAAGCTCACACCATCACATGGGCTGCGTTCGTTCGTCTCTCGTCCTCCCGCTCATTGTGTTCCATAACAGCATCTCTTGATGGTGACATAGATGTCCCGCCTTGAACTTTGTGCAGGGCTCGGTATCCTGCCAACCAGCGCTCGTGTCAATCAGAAGCCTCCAGCTGTCGTGCACGAGCGCGTGTAGTAGTGCCAGTCAGTTAGTTGATGGACAAGTAATTATATCGGGCGGTCGGCAATTCTATCACGTCGCTTGCCGTCAGGTAGCTTCTCGACGATAGGAAGAGCAGTGCAAATGCATCTGACAATCTCCCTCCGCCTCAACGACACACGGCGGACACAAGGCTCCCACAGTCGATTACCGTTCCCATGTCAAGCGATAGACCGTCGTCAACATCACGACTCGACAAAAGCTTTGAGAAGAAAGGATTGAGAACAGAAGAAATTCAAAAAGGAGCTGCTTTCTCTATTCTCTGTGTATTGTGTAAATGCCCATACCTATCTGACTGAAGCTATCAATAAAAGTCATGCTTTCCGGCAGAATGCGTATCCTGGAAGCGGGGAGTCGTTGATGGAGGTCTTGAGATCTTCCTCTGAGTGCATACGCACACTGGGCAACTGGACTTCGATCAACCTCGTCGACGGAGATACCAATGGCCCCTTCAGAGGCGGATTCATACCTGCCGTAGGAGGACGAGAAAGAGAGCTGGAGAACAAGAGACCGATCAACGTCACCCCGTCAGCCTCACGTGTCGAATCAACATGCGCGACAGTTCTGAGCACCAATTGGCGAGACGTTGCAGTCGGCTGATCTACCTAGGTAGGTCTTGGAGGGATCTAAGACTTGATCGCCCAATCAGTAGATAACATGCTGCACTAAGGTGATGGAGTTCAACAGTCACCCACGCACCACCATGAGCGCCTTAACGATACAGGCTTTGCTGAGATAATGGTGGTGAGCAGATGATAGTGTCATGGGTCGTGCAACAGATCGTAGCCCTATCCAGGGCGCTCGCGCATGATCAACACGCATATGCGGTGTGTTTATGTGTGTGTGTGTGTGTGTGTGTGTGTGTGTGTGTGTGTGACGAGCGCTGGTCTGTTTGTTTTGAGTTTCTCAACGACCAAAGGTCCATGTCCTGGACCAGCTATGGGCACGGGCTTCAGGAGTAGGAGGAGGTAGCTAGCCGGCCGCCGGCCGGAAGACGCGAGCGCTGGAAACGGCAGCCGGCGTTCGAGAAGCTGGCTACCCTTCTGGTGGCATGTCAAGGTACAGGAACGTGGCAATGGAGAACAGCCTGGACGGAACGGGCCCAGCCAGTGCGGCGGATCCAGCGTGCGTCTTGGGGGGTTAGTGCCCCTAACCGCCCCTCCGGCTGGCTGGCAAAGGATTAACCTGACCAAGCCGAGGCGAGTCAAGACTTCCCTGATGCTGGGAAGAAATGCCTCGAATGTGAAGCAGCCGGATAACCGCACCGTCACAGGAGACCAAAATTCGTGGAGACTGTTTCCACTGATCTTCTTTGTCCTTAAACGCGAAGGACATGTACCATGTATATGAGTCGGGCATGTCGGCAACCTGGCCATGAACACGCCTGCCGCTCAAGCCATTCATCAGTGACGATTTTTCGCCAAAAGAAGAGGCTCAAGCACCGGCTCGATGAGAGAGACCATTCCGGTGATGCTTCTTCGGCCGACCTCTGTAGTTGAGAACCCTCACACTCGCTGTTGTTCTGGCCGGCGTCCACTACAGGGATGTCGAGGACGGAGTGTGAGCAACTTTTGAAAGGGCCAGAGCACCCCTCTCCCCCGCACACCATACCCTGGCGACTTGGCACCATCACGGCCCCTCTTCCCATTGATCAGCCTGAAGGCCGTTGCGTGCTCCAGCTGTTTGCCGCCAGGCGTGTCCGGCCACTAAGCAATTTCTTGGCTGCCAAGGGTTTTCGGGGTCGCACAGTGTTGGGTTGACGATTCGGATGCACTCGTCGACTTGAGGATACATGAAGAGTGCAGTGGACATTTAAGCTTCCGCGTTCGATGGCTACTATGCATACCTACGTAGGTACCTAAGGCAATTGCATCTAGGCAAGCTCGAAACGTCCGCTCTCCTCTCTCCTCGACGTGCAGTGCAGCCCTTCACGTGGACACAAAGCCAACATCACAACGACTTCTGTCCACAATGGCATCCTCCCCCCCCAAATCCCCATGCCCTGGTCTTCCTTGTCACCCTGCTTTCGCCTCCCGCTCCGTTGGGGATGCAGGGGCCCACTCCACCACGCGATTAGCGGTGGAATGACTGGCTTTGGCGGATCGCTTCAGCAAATGCTGGCTCGCCGACCTGCCCGCTGGGCCGCCCATCACCTAACTAACTCGGGCAAAGTTGGTCCTTCCATCCTCCGACTTTCCCTGAAGGGCCCCAGGGCCAACCCGAGACAAGTTTTTGAGCCTTTTCTGGTCACCCCAAGAAACATTGCCCGTGTGATCCCGACACCCGACGCACGACGAGGGGGCCATGTGCCAGCCCAGTGGCTTTGATTCAGTCGCTCCCATATCCCGTGCTCAGTTGTCGAACATGTTCGTTCCATGTTTGCCCGAGAGATAGGACCTCCAAGATGGCCCTTCACAGAGCAGGGGGCTGGCAAGGCGTTCCATAAAACTCAAGCAACAGAGGGTCGTGAGGAAACTGTGCCGCAGATTCGGCGTGGACAAGGCCCGACTGCCCACTGACATCCCGGAAACCCCGCCATCCCGCTCATGCTCGCCCCCCTCGCAGTGCGATCCATACCCACCTTGGGCCCCCTCCAAGACCCTTCCCTAAGCCGTGTCTGGCAAGACGGGCGCCCGCAACAGGGACCCTGGCCCACTTGCCTGCTGACAACCCCCTCCCCCCATCCCCTTATCGATAGGTGCTAATCGACCCCTTCTTCATCAGTCGCCCTTCCCCCGGCTCTACCTCTTGGAAACCATCTCGCCAGTTCGTCGTCGACCGAACTGTCCTTATTCTTGAGTTCTTCTCCATTGCATAGTCCGACCTTTATTTCGACCGAATGTCCTTGCGACCGCGAGCACGGCGTCAAGTCTTCCTCTCGACATGAGAAAGGGTTGACCGAACAGCCCATCTCACCCCTCCCCCCACCTCAACTTTTGTCCGACGTCGATTCCGATATCCCGAGGACTGTCTTCACATCCAGCTCCTATCGTCCGTTGCTTTAGTCTCCAGCTTCGACTAACCTCGTTGTAATCCATCAATCGTCTTGCCACCCATATTCGTCGTCATGCCCGACATGCAGGAGTCTATTGCGAGCCCTGCGCTCACGGAGGTGGTTGACGAGCAAAACCCAGACCTCCATGAGGTCCCCATCAAGAAAGGCAACCGACAAAGACTCCTCCATCGCATCCAACGCATCTCTTCCTCCCCATCCTTGGTTTCCATAGGACGACCCAGAGCACGCAGTACCCCTTACAGAGGCAAGGGTCATCTGTCTTGCGTCAGCCTCTCCAATGCCCCTGTCGCAAGCATCACAGATGGCAGCGATTCCTACTTCCCCGCAGGGGCCTCAGCATCAGATTATGCAAACGCCTCGGGTCGTCAAGCTGGTACACCAGCCAGCGAGAAGGCCCATTTTGACGTCAACGTTCGCAGAATCGAGACCGGAGTGACGCCATTCAATCCCTTGACACCAGGGGCGTACACGATTGGCCTACCAACTGACATCAAAACCGTCTCGAAAATACTGCTAGCAAACCCTGCGATTCCGAAAAAGAACTTTGACTTCTGGAAAGACATGCCACATGAGATCAGTGTACACATTTTCTCCTTCCTGCGACCCAAAGAGCTGGTTCAAGCCTCTGGCATCAGCAAGTCGTTCCACGAAATATGCTTTGATGGGCAACTGTGGACGAGTTTCGATGCTTCTCAGTTCCACGACGAGATTCCAGCCGAGTCGCTCGCTAAGATTATCGTTGCTGCTGGTCCCTTCATCAAGGACCTCAATTTACGGGGCTGCGTTCAGGTAGAGCATTACCATAGGGCTGAGGTCGTCGTCAAGGCTTGCCAAAACCTTTTGGATGCGACTCTCGAAGGCTGTCGCAACTTTCAGAGGAGTCCACTGCATACATTGCTTCGCAACAACTCCAGACTTGCCAATCTCAACTTGACAGGCCTCACCGCCGTAACCAACATGGCATGCAAGATCATTGCAGAGGCCTGCCCTCAGCTGCAAAGGCTGGATGTTTCTTGGTGCACACACATGGACGCCAGAGGCATCAAGGCAGTTGTGAAAGGATGCGCCAAACTGACGGACCTACGTGCCAGGGAAATTAGGGGCTTTGACAATCTGGAGGTTGCAGAGGTGCTGTACAGAACCAACAACCTGGAGCGCCTAATCCTCAACGGTTGCGCCGACCTGGACGATCGCGCACTCAAGGTCATGGTCCAGGGCGAAGAGCCGGAAATCGACATCTTGACCGATATCCCTGTTGTTCCCCGACGCAAGTGGCGCCATCTCGATCTCAGTCGCTGCACCCGCCTTACGAGCAGGGGTGTTCGCGCACTTGGTCACTTGACACCAGACCTTGAGGGCTTGCAGCTGTCTGGTTGCACAGCATTGACCGACACTGCACTTGAGACCATTCTGGCCTCAACGCCACGTCTGACTCACCTCGAGCTGGAGGATCTTGCCGAGCTCACCAACGCCTTCCTTTCCGAACATCTCGCCAAAGCCCCTTGTGCTCCACACCTGGAGCACCTTTCCCTCGGCTACTGCGAAGATCTTGGTGACGCTGGTATGCTTCCTGTTGTCAAGAACTGCATTCGGCTGCAGAATATTGACCTGGACAATACGCGTATCAGTGATCTCGTCCTTGCAGAGGCAGCACACATGGTCAATAAGCGTGCGAAGCGTACCACGGATTCCCGAGCCCGGCCCTCTGTCAGCCTGAACATGGTCGTGTACGATTGTCAGAACGTCACTTGGACTGGTGTCCGCGAGGTGCTGTTCCGCAATGCTCACGTCAAACCCGACTCGTATCCCATGGAAGTCATTGGGCTCAAGGCCTTCTACGGCTTCCAGATGACGATCGACGAACACATGAAGCGCGTCCTCCGCGGGGACTTTGCGGCGGCCAGTAGGCTGGAACGTCGCTGGGCGGATTACATGCAGGCCAATGAAGAGGCTGGCGCCACAGGAGCAGGACACCGAAGGCGGCGCCGTCGGGCGAGAGAAGCCCAGATGCTGCACGCCGATGAGGAAGAGGGCGGCATTGCGCATGGTGGACGCAGGAGAGCTAGGACAGTTGCTGCTGCCTGTGCTGTCATGTAAAGGGAGAGATTCGCAGCGGCGTGTGCATTTCGAGCGTAAGCAGGCGTGGCCAGCGGCCCTGGGGGCTGCGGTCACGCCCACCTGGCATATGGGATATTGTGTGAAATATATTAGGCGTCTTGGTGGTACAGGAAGTACCGGCGGGGATGGTATGCTTGGATCAGGGTACTGAATTTTATAGAAACGTCTCGCCGTTGGGGCCCGGGGTCAGGTGTTTTTTTGCGGCGCTTGGCGGCCTTCGTCAACACCTTTCAAGAATCTAGGGAGCATGATAGTCTGTCTCTATCCAGTTGTTCTTTACTGATTCAGCGTACGAACGGCATCTCAGCGCGATCTCGTGTGATAAGCCATCAAGATGACGCTAACAGGGTCTTCACTCGAGGCCTCCCTTTTATGAAGGTCAGACGAATCTAAGGTCTGCTTCGGAGCGGCATGTTGTTTGTAACTTTAGCCGGGAAACACTGCCCCCTTTCCGGTCCGTTCCTGGAGCCTGAAGTCCTGGCCAAGGGACATTGCTCGGCCCCATGACAAACTGTGCCACCATCACTGTGAAAATCAGAACAGCAGCGCTATTCTTCTAACCAGATCCAAATTGGCGAATGTACCGCCGGATACGCTCCTGATGCACGTCCTCGTCGTCGCCGCTGAAAGTCATCTCCTCGTCCTCGCCGTCATAGTAAGCGTCAAACTCGTCCCCGTCCGAGGTCTGACCCTGGCGGTAGAGGTAGGCATTGCGGCCGTATTCGTCGTCCGAGTCAACCTCGTCTTCCGGGTAGTCGGCCGTGTAATGGTTCTCGGCTGTTTTTCCAAGGCACATGAGCACTCTGCCGCTTTTGGCATGGTAAGGGGTAAAGGAAAGCTGGGTTGGTCAAATCAACGTACCGTTTTCGTCCTCTTCGTCATCCGGCAGCTCGTCCGAGTCGGACTCGTCGCATCCGTAAAAGAGCTCCATGTCCTCCTCCGTGTCGAACTTGAGCACGCCGATCTGCTCGGGCGGAATCTGGCCGAGCGCCAGCAGCGGGGTGGTCGTCTTGTGCGTGTCGGGGGCGAGTTCGTAGACGACAATCTCGTAGTCGTCGTCGGACATGTCGACGTCCTGGGCCTCGGAGGCGTCCCTGGCGTCGAGCTCGCGCGCCAGCTCAGGGTGGCGTTCGGCGAAGCGCTTGGCGGGGGCCTTGGGCTTGAATCTGGACGGGGACGCAGGCGTCTTCTTCTTGATCTCGGCCAGATTCAGGCCTATCTCGTGTAGGACCCACTGGTCCATGTCGGCTGCGATCTTGTCGGTCTCGTCTGTGCGGTTGACCGGTGGGAGGGGCTTGTGATCGGGATCGGGGCCTTTGGCGGCGGCGTCCGGGATCGGCGTCGTGGTGTTGGGTGTGGCGTCTGTAGGGGAAGGAGCAGGTCGGTTCATACGTCGCGCGCTCGGTTTCTTAATCTTCCTCTCCATCGTTGTCTCCGTGTGTGCCTCTGATGCCCCATGCTGCTGCTGTACCAATGGTCTCGAAGGGAGCGCCTTGTTCAGCGCACCATGGGCGCCACGTTCGACAAATACTGCGGTGCCGTATCGAGACTTGCGATTCTTCGTGATCCCGGAGCTCCTGCTTCGTGCGGACGGGGCCTGCATCGAGGCCCGCGACATGTGGAAGAAGCGTTGCGCGCCAAACGCAGGCAGTCCGGTTGTTTTCAGGGCGGCATCCGTCTTTGACACATGATCGTGGGTGGAGCTCAGCTGAGCGGCTGGTGCTTGTGGTTTCGTGTCCGTTTCCCCCTCGTCGAAAGGTTGATCTTGGACCTTGGAAGACTGTATTATGGGCGCGGTTTCGGAATGTAGATTCTGCAAGTCGTTCAAGAGAGGATGGACGGAAGGGGGCAGGGCCTTTGGTTGATCTTTGGCCTCGCCATTGCGCCGTTTGTAAACAAAGTTTTTCAGGTGGCGCTTTGTTCCCGACTCGAGATCTAGGATGTATGAGCACTCTCGTACAAGCACGGAATCTTGCGATCAGGGGCTGAGAACCCACGTAGATAGTTGACGGGGGCCTCCTCAGCGCCGCGCTTGCGCTTGATGTGGATGGTCTGCGGAGGGGCGGACATAACCCTGACAATAGAGACCGTCTGTTCGATCCGGCGAAGGGGTGCTAGGGAGAGATGTGAGGACACATGAGTATATGGTGCCTTTTGCGCAGTTGGGTTGTGACTGGGTGATGTCACTTGGAAGAGCGAGTTTGTCGGTCAAGGAGCGATGGTCGTGGACCACTTTTTGGCGGGCCATACTGATGGAGGGAGCGATAAGCAATTCTTTATGCTTATCATTGGGCGACGCCATTGGTGGCTATTCAAACGCATGTCCATGTCTAGGTACTTCCTTTACAAGGCAAGGTAGCAATTGTCTCGCGAAGGCGCCTATTCGTTGCCTCGATGCTTCGCAATCGACCTGCATGGCGAGACTTCCAGACGGAGGCTTGTAATAGGCTTGCTGAATTCCGATGCTGACTGCGCCGAGTGAGGTGCAAGACGGTATGTTGCCTGGTCCAAGCGGCCAGTATAGCGGCTGTACGGTGCGCCGCAGTGGCCTGGCAAGGATACCCACCTGGGGAGCTTGGGGAGGTATATTAGAGGCGCCCTTTCAGTGGAGCGAGGCTTGCATCGGTCGAGGTCCACCTCCAGGCGGCGATCGTTAGATGGGGATGCTCTACGTATCTAATACTAATTATGACAGCATCGTTGGCAAAGACTCGGTCCACCTATATTTCACATTGTCATCCAAACCCCGCCTTGGTCCTGCTGTACCACCATGCGTACCCCAATTTGAAGCTTTCAGATGCTGCCGACATGGGCTGCGGGCCTTACCATTCGCTCATCATGGCCGCCTGTATTCTGGCCATACGCTGGTGGCTGGCCCGTCACACCGGCCCAACTGCTACGGCAGCAGCTAATGCGGGGATCGGCCCAGGCATGCCCTTCGACAAGTCCCCGATACTTTGGTAACGAAGGGCCAGGCAGCCAATAGGCAGGTTCCCGAGACATGCAGATGGGCTTCCCGCCCACCTGGCCAAAAGCTCCGGGCTTCGTACCTACTAGGTAGCTGCCAGCCAGGCCAGGCTAAACAGAATGGCAGCATTGACACACACGTACCTACTCTCCACGTTGTATGCCATCGAGGTACTCCGCTGCGCTGAGCCTGAACCTGAGCGTCTGGCGCGCGGATGACATGGTGTGGTATGACGCGCCATGCCCATTCCTTGGAAGATGTCTGGGTTTGGGGCCTGGGGCTTGAGCTTGAAGCACGCCTGCTCGGCTTGAACCGCTGGGGAGGCTTTCTTTTGCCTCGACATTGCCCCCAACGTGAGCATCCCATGAAATTATGCACTCTTCCGTCTCCAGCATCTCCTCATACAATACCTTTCAGCTGTGAGCTTCAGGTCCTCCTGCAAGAGACTCCAACCAGTAAGTGTCTTACGTATCGCGCGTAGGTAGCAAGAGCTGCACCGCTTGGTCTACCCCTCCTCTCGTTTCCTTCCGGTCCTCCCTTCCCACTGATGTTCCTGTCACCACACGCCATCTGATTCACGAAGCCTCATCACGGCAAACAGCCTGTCAATCTCTTTGATCGCACACGACCCTAGAAGCTACACTTTCATCCTCCTTTGATCTATCATATTCGCTCCCTTGCGGCTACATCCCTTTTCTGCTTTCCTTCCCATAATACAAAATACACTGGTGCCATCCAGTCGCGGGCACACTTCCTTGCGTAGCAATTTCAGAGACCGCCCAAACATCGCCATTAACAATCGTCTCTAGCGCAGCAATATTCGTCGACGAGGCGGAAGCGGCGTATCACAGAGTCCCTGCCATCACTTGCCACTGTGGCATCTCCAGCGCGAGGCTCATTGCCCAACATTGACTGATTCGAGAAGCTTCAAGGCGGGCGATATCGACGGACCTAGTCCCCCGTGCTCCCCACCGACAGCCCAGGCACCCGCAAACAATCACTGACACGGGCATGACAACGTCATAAGTCGAGAGAAGCATATGCAATCATGGCCGTCTCCAAGATTCCAATCACGCTCACATATCGGAAGCCTGGCACACAGCCACCTCTGTTCGTCGCTGGGACGTTCTCCAATCCACAATGGGAGGCGCAAGAGATGCAGGTCACCACAGGGGACGACGGAGAGCATACGTTCTCCAAACCCCTGCACCTTCCCCCCGGATCCAAGATTCAGTACAAAATCCGCATCGGTCCCGGAGATTGGTGGGTTCTCAACGACGACGCGCCGACGGGTACGTATATCTACAGCAATGATACCCTGCTTGCCCAACGCCTACGACTTCGAGCCTAACGCACTCATATAGTGACCGACGAAGCCGGAAACCGCAACAACGTATTGATTGCCCCAGAACGCGACGAGGCCCATGCAGACGACGAGGCGCGGAACAAAGACTCAATCAACGAACTTGCCGATAGTTCCCAAACGGGCGTAAACATGAACGGCTCGACACACAGCGAGGTTCTTCCTGCGCCGAAACCTCGCGGCGTCGACAAGCTACGGGAGCGCAGCGAGGAGGAGCTTCAGCACCTCACAGCTACACCCCCGGAGGAGGTCGCGGAAACTGCCGCCGAGGTCGCCGACACGGCCGAAACTCTGGATGCTGATCAGGTACGAGTGTGTCCCAGGTCGTGCGATTAGACAGGACAGGCATCTGACAATGACTACAAGGAGGACAAAGACACGAATGACAGGGAAACAACTACTGTCTGTCTCATTGACAGTTTCCCGGATGAAGAGGAGGACCTCGATGTTCAGAGCGAGCTTCCCCCCCTCTTTGCTCATGAATGCCTAGGCGGTTCCGACCCTGTGCCTGAAGTTGTCTCACCCCCTGTCCGACGCAGCAGCGAGGCGCGCAGCGGCAGTGTCGATTACAATGTTGACCAGTACGATCTTAACGACCCCACACTCGAAAGGTGGCCTTCGGATCTCAACGCCATCATGGACGCTGTGCGGCGCGTTGAGTCATCGCGCGATGAAGACCAGACCTATGTCCTAGGCTCACCCATCTCACCCATCATTACTTCGCGCCGCGCGAGCAAGATTGAGGACGACATTGCTCTTTCACCCGAGTCCCCAAGTCCCGTCACTGCGACCAAGCTTGACGTACCGACTAGAAAGCAGTCGCATGGCTCTATGGTGTCCAATCGATCTCTGACATCTCTTGCTTCCATTGTGGAAGAGGATCACAGACGCATCGAGGAAGAGGAGTATGACGAGGAGGCCGTGGAGGATCTTCGACCTTCGCCTGTGGTTCGCCTGCCCAGCCCTGCCGTCAAGGTGACTCCTGATCTCCTGCGCTCTCCTGCTAGCGATGACGACGAGGGCGTGGTCCTGAAGAGTTCTCGCTCCGATCTCGACGTCAAGAGCGACACGGACACACCAGCTGCAGCGTTGGAACTTCCAGAACGTGGGACTAGCAAGAGCCAACCAAGTCCGCCTGTCCAACAGGACCAACCCAGTGCCGGCGCGCCCCCACCAGACGAGATGGACGAGCTGGACGACGACGGAGCCGATGGCAACATTGGACAGCGTGCCGCCCCGCAGGGAGAGGACTCGGCGGATGGCCAGCTGCGAAGGCGCAATCTCAGCAACGACCGTGCTGTCGCATCCAGCTCCGCTCAGGGCGCCAAGAATGCCGACAGCAGCAACTGGCTCCAAGCCTTCTTCCGTGTGCTCTTTGTCGACTGGATCGGGGGCTTTGTCCGCCAAATCTTCCACGGCAACCGCAAGTAGTATTATGGCCTGATGGCTGCCGGTGCGGCGGTCATGGCATGGGGCGTCACGACGACGCTGGCAACGGCCGCGCGCTCGAAGGGACAGTGAGGTAGGCCGGGATGGTTTCTGGCCTTTTCGTTTCCCCTCACAGTTCGTTTCTCTTTTTCTCCTCCTCTCTGGTCCTGTATCGCGGTGTACGATTATCTTGCGTGTGTGTAGTACGGTAGGGAAGGCTCGTGGTCGGATGGACAAGAGCCACGAAGCGGGCACGGAAGCCTGCCAGGGCTGGCAGCAGCTTGGTAGGGAAGCAGGCAGGCACACAATGCGTAACGAAACCTCACGACTTTTCTGCTTTGTTTCCGGTAGTCGTGCCATTGTTTGCTACTGAATATGCTACTCAGACAAGAATTGCTGCGCGTTGGTATCATGTGTTCGTTCATCATGTTGTCTTACCTGTCCTCCTGTTGATCACGCTCGCTGGAATGAAATCAGTCAACCATGCCTTTCCCTCCCTCTTCGTCATGACGGCGCGGCAGCCTCACATGACCCTCCACACAGCACCAGGCCGCGGCCCCTCGCGCCGCGCATCCCCGTCCTCGCGGTTCACCCTCCGAATCCACGCCGCCTCGTCCTCGACAGCCGCGCGCTCGACGTCCCGCATGACGGCCAGCTCGTCGCGCATGTCTCGCGCCAGGGCGCCGCACGCCTCGAGCGCGCGCGCCGGGTCGGCGCCGGCGTGCGGCGCGGGGAACGCGGGCAGCGCGGCGAGTGGGCGCAGCAGCAGCGTGTCGAGCCTGTGGGCGTGGCGCGCGGCGTCGGCGTGCCAGGTGGCGTCGAGGGGGCCGGCGAGCACGGCGTCCACGTCGAGGGGCTGGTGCTGGTGCTGGTGCTGCTTTAGGAGGAGCAGGGCGTCGCGGTTGTCGGGCACGCGGGCGGCCCAGCGGGCGAAGCGGCGTGCGAGGGCTTCGTGGCTGGTCTCGAGGCCGGGGAGGGCGGCGAGGGCGGCGAGGGCGGCGTCGAGGGGCGGGATGGTCTGCTCGAGACGGGCGGCGGACGCGTGAGGCGGGCCGCCGTGCCAGGCGTGGAGGGCGGCGACGTTCCGGGCTGTGGCGGCGGTGGCGGCGTCGTCTGCGGCGGTGGCGTGGCGGGCGGCGAGGAGGCGGTGGCGGGCGGCGAGCTGGTCGTGGGCCGAGGCGCGCCAGTCGGCTGCCGTGGCGGGGGCGTCGCGGTGCAGCAGGTGCAGCTGCAGGAGCGTCGTCTGCAGGCGGGCCATCTCGGCGGTGAGGGCAATGTTGGAGGGGAGCTTCGAGGGCGAGGGCGGCGCGAGGTACGAGGCCGTGGCCGGTTTCGGCGCCGTGGTCCGCTGGGGTGAGTAGTGCTGTTGGAGGGTCGAGAAGGCCGGCTTCTTCTGGAGGAGGCGGGGTGGGTTCGTCGTCGGGTTGGCCGCCGTCGCTGCCGTGGTTGTCGTGTTCGCAGTGGTGGGCTGTCTTGCGGGCCTTGCGTTGGCGGAGGGGGGCCGGGTGGGATGGGTTGTTTGGCCTGCTGAGGGCGGCCGATTGACCGAAGCCAGCGAGGGTGTCGATGAGGCGGTCACCGTACTTCGGGCGCGGACGTGGCCCTGGCTCCTGGCTGGGGCTGTCGTCGTCGACCTTGTTCTCGCGTGGGCTGGTAGACCGCCTGAGGAGGTTGGCCGCTTGACGGTCGCTGCCGCCGAGGACGAGGCATTGGGAGGGTAGCGGGGCCTCGTGGCATCTGTCTGGTGAGATCGTGTCGTCGTGTTCGCCGTGGCAGCTAGTGGCCTCGATGTCGTGGCCGTGGACGATGTCGTGGACGATGTCGTGGTCGTGGTCGTGCTCGTGGACGAGGCCGTGCTCGTGGCGGTGGGGGTTTGTGTTCGAGAGGTAACGCTCGGGGGCCGGACGAGGGCGCCAGAGACGGGCCGTGTGCGTCTGGCAGGAGCTTCTTTTGCTGCTGCTGCTGCTGCCGCTGCCGCCGTAGAAATGCTTCGCGTGACGGGCCGCAGGGAAGGCAGACGGCTGGGGGAGATGTTGCGGCGGGCTGTCGTCGAGCCGGCCGTCGGTGTTGCTGGGGCGATGGACCTGTGCGAGAGGTCGGTGGCTGTTCCTGGCGTCGGTTTTCGCAGGGACCGCGTGCGCGTGAGTGGCGGATTGGACGACATGGCGACCGGACAAGGGGACGGAGCCCAGATGGAGGGGGCGATGGGCTCGGAGCTTGCTATCGAGGGGGGGGTAGGGTTGGTGGTGGTGTCTAGGTAAGGTAGATAGGTAGGGTCGAGTCGACTCGGCTTGGCCAGTGTTTGGTGTTGACGAAGCAGCCGTGCTGGGCTGGGCTGGGCCTCGACAGCCGCGCTGGCCCGTGACATGCTCGCAGGGCGATGGCGGGTCCGGCAGTGGAGGAAGCGCCCTGTGCCTCCCCTGTGCCTCCCCTGGTGCGCCCTGTGCCTCCCCTGTGCCTCTCCTGGTACGCCCTGTGCCTGATCCCTGACAGCCACGGCCATTCAGGGGTAGGTGCACCTCGATAGTGTACTGGAGTCTCCCCTACACGAGACCATGTTGCACTACGTATCGCCAACATACTGCACGTGAGCTCACAAGTCACCAAAGTCTGACAAGCGCGCCGTCCTAGTCAACACCACTGCTATTAGAGTCGTCAAGTGCAGGCCAGACTGCCGAGCCCTCCCTCCAAAAGCGCACGTGGCAACCTCTCGCTGCCAGCATCGCGGCGACTGACGAAAACATGGTATCTCGTTACATCTATTGACACAAGTACGCCCCGCTCTACCCATTCGTTGCATTCATGAGGAGCTTGCCTTCGCCCCCTTCTAACATGATCCTTGCGTGCTCGTACGTCGCCGTCACGTAGGCCCGCCGCCGCCCGTCACTCCAACACCATCGAAAGGTCGTGCTTCTCGAGTCCCTATGCTCGCTGCGACATGGCCGTTCCTGGTCGGGGCCCGTGCTGCGACATGCTCGTGCCCGGCCGCGACCCATAGTTGGACATGCCCGTGCCCGGTCGCGCCGGGTGCTGCATCGCCACCGGTGTCGGCGGCGCTGCCATGTCGCCGGGGTGCGCCTCGAGGTAGTCGGTCAGCTTGTTGAGGTCGCGCCCGTTGTTGTTCATAAAGTGGAAGCACCCGTCACACATGCGCAGCTCGCACGCCGCGCACTTCCACCTGTCCTCGCGATCCGCCTTGTGACACGTCTGGCACGCCACGGCGTAGTTCTTCTGCCGGCTGCGGTTGATGAACCGGTGCTTCTGGTGGCAGTCCACCATGCTGGGCCTGATCGGCAGCGCCGGGAACACCGTGCCCGCCGGCGCAGACGTCATGACGGTAGCCGGGAACCGCAGCGCCGCCGCGTTGGGCGGCGGCAGGTCTTCAACGCGCAGTTCCGGGAACGTGCGCGACTCGGGCGACGGCTGCATGCCAGGGTGGGGGCTGCGCAGGCTCAACGCTTGGGATCTCTTCTCTCGGAGCGCCGGGGGCCCCAGCGGAAGGCCGGCAGGCCGCTGCTGCTGTGACCGCGAGCTTGTGCGCGGCCGAAACCCTTGCTGCGGCTGCGGCTGCGGTTGTGGCTGTGGCTGGCCAGATGCAGCGGCGTGGGCGCTCGAGGGACTGGCGATGGCGCCCTGGGCGATGATGGGCGTAGAGAGTGTCGGGGGGAAGGGCTCGGCGTTTGTGATGCCGGGACCTTCCGTGCGAATCTGCGGCAGGCTTTTTGTGCTGTGTAGGTCACGCCCGCCGATGGCCTTGCGCTGAATAGACGGCTTGGCCTGCGGCTTGGGACCTGCCTGTTGCTCTTCGGAGGGCGGGTGTGGTGATGGCGCCGGCGAGAGGGGCGAGACGATGCCATCAACAAGTGGGGTCCGAATGTCCTGCGTCTGATATTCGGGCGTGGGCAGGCGTGGCACCTGATCAAGAGCCGAGTCGCTCATCGACACCAGGCCACCATGTCCCTGCTGTTGACTGCCCACACTTCGCTGATCACGCAGGTTCAGGTGCGAAAGTTTGATCTTCAGCTTTGATGCTTCGTTGCCCATGTCGTCGCTGTTGGGTGTGACATTGGTCTTGTCACCGTGTGAGTAAGCGTGTTCAGTGCCTGCCACGGATGCAGGTGCAGGTACAGGTGCAGGTGCAGAGGCGTGTGAATGCGATTTTGCGTGCGAGGCGTGTGACAATGGATTCGTCGCCGGGCCTTTGTTGGGGACTTCTGGAGCGTTAGATGTGTGTGAAGGAAACTGAGAGGCAGCGGTCGATCCATGACTGTTGGTTAATTTTAGCTCGGGCATCTGTATGTCACGATCTGACTTTCCAGAGCGTCGGCGCCAGAGCTGGTCTCTTTGTGGGGACGAGGCCACGATGGTCGTCGGGCCGCCAGCAGTCGGCGCCCGTGCAGAGTCTTTTCGGGGCGGGAATGGCTTGCGACCCTCATCGACGACCGATGGTTGTGAGGGCAGGCCCTTGCCAAGAACAAGGTCGCGAGATGATTCCTGCAGTCGTCCTCTGGGAACTTCGTATTCCTGGGGTACGGACGGCAGCGGTGTCAAACCGTCCTTCCTGCCGCCCCGGACCTCTTCTTGCGGTGACATGGTCACTGCCGAATATCGTTGGCTTCCTGCGCCGTCCGACGACCTGATAATGGACTCTCCTGCAGAGCTCCTCGAATACGCCGACAACAAGCTGCCTATACTGTCCGTTGGCGACGCGGGTGGCGCTTCCGCCGTGGGAGGCGCCGTCTTGGTCGATAATGACGCCGTCGCGTCGGTCTTGGCGGGGACCACGGGTCGTCTGGGGATCGACATGGGTGGCGGTGGTGGCGGCAGAGTTGACCTGGCAGACTGCGATGGAGAGAGCTGTGACGATGGCGGATGTCGAGGCTCGGGTTGCGAATGCGACATGGGCGATGGCTTCTCAAGCAGTGGCGCCGCCGTGGGCAGGACAGGTTTTCTGACGGGTTTGCGGGCGAGGAGTTTGGGTAGCAGAGGCACAGAGGGCAGCTGCTTCGAGGGCGGGCGGGTGGTATCGACAGGACGCGAGGCATCAGGAGCAGAGGGGGGGGTGGGCAGGGCTTTTGAGAAGCGCGAGCGGCCGCGATCCCCCGCGGAAGGTTCGGCGCGCAGCATGACTGACTGACGGCCGAGTCAGGGAGAGTTTGCGCACTCTCTTGCGATCTCACTCTCGTCTCTCTCCTTTGGCGGGTCCGTCGCAGTGGTATTGCGTGGTGGTGAAACGGCAGAACGTGGCCGAGGTGGGACGAGGATGATCGGACGAAGAGCAGCACTATGCGTCGGTCCTGCCTCTGGGCTGGTGGTATTGGTGGTATTGTTGATGGTGGTGGTGGTCGTCGTGGTGGTGGTCGGGCTGAGCGGCGGATCCCCGTGCGGGTGCTCGATTATGCGTGTCAGACCAAGCTGCGATGAGCCAGCATCCAGGGTCGTGGGCAAGGGGCGCCGGTGTCACAGTGGCAGGTTGCGTCTCCTGCAGAGGGGAGACTTGCTGCAGAGGGGAGGAGCCGCAGGTAGGGGTCGAGGTAGATGGAGGTTTGAGGTTGAGGACGAGAAGGAAAAAAGCCGGTTGTAACGAGTGGACGGCAACCAAGGCGCCAGCGGTGACGATGACAGGGATCCTCGCGAGGGTGGATGCGACGCGGCGTGGTTACTGTGCCTGTTGAGGTGGAGGACGAGGCAGTGTCCAAGGTCGAAGAATGGATGAATCCGGGGCGGCGGTCCCTCGTCAGACTCTGGTCAGAATCAGAATGGTGTGGTGGGTTGTCAAGTTGAGATGGGAGGATGGAGGATATTGGAGATGAGCAACTCCACTTGACGGGCTGACGGGGAGTTGGCAAGATGCCATCTCCTTGCTTGGCCTTGGTGTGAGCGACGACGAAGAGGAGGCCGCCCCGATGATGATCGACAGCGCTGGGCCGCCCAAGGTGTGCCTCGGAGTGCCAAGTGCTCCTCCCCAAAGGTCCCAAAGGCTCCAAAGGCTCCAAAGGCTCCAAAGGCCCCAAAGGCCCCGCCACGCAGGAACGAATGACGACTTCCTTCAGCGCGCGACCCAGGATGTGGTGGCAGGGGAGACCCCCCCATGACTGGTGGCTGTGGCTCATGCTGAAACAGCCAATGCCAGCCAACCTTTGGACGCCGTCTTCTTTTTTTCGCCTCCGAGGCTTGTTGGAGGGGAGAAGGCCTGCCTGCCAGGGCCTGCCTGCCAGGGCCTACCTGCTTCCTGTTCACCTCACCCTCCAAGTCACCCCTCGTTCACACGATGATTTAGCGTCACTCTACCAATTGCCCGTCGATAAACATGGATAGGTACGGCGAAGATGCTCAATGCCACCTTCAGATCAACATGAATTCGCCTCGAAAAATGGGAAGGAAGAAAGACAGACTGGCCGGTGCCCAGCACGCACAACTAGCAACGGATGCTTCGGAATGCGATTGCTACCAGGACATGCCCTTCTTGGAACGCCATCCACTTCAACGCATCCTGCCCTGGTACCTATCAATAGACCCAGGTCGACGTCGGCAGGAATGCGGGAGGGTGTCAGGGTCTCATCCCATGTCTCATCTCCTTCATGGTCGTCCACCCGCCACTCCAAAAGCCTCGATCGTCGCGTCTACCAACCTTCCATTCTGATGCTGTCTGCCACTGCGGCTACCTGGTTGAGCTGCCTCCGTACTTATTCAACAGCTTGGACGTCCCGTTGGTACATGTGTTGCAATCACAGCGTCCCTTTTGCGTACGGCACCACGAGTGCGACGTCACAGGCAGGCTACTGACGTGAAGCGCGATGCTGTGAGCGCTGTACAGCATCGCAATAGGCGAGGCCAGGAGGTTTGCTTCGAGGCCGAGCTGTTGTGCTCATGCAGACTCCCCTTCGACGTTCAGCTAACAACCTGGCTTGCTGC